GTAGGAGGTGATATTAATAGAGATCTAGCAGAGGAAGAAAGCCATGTCTCTCCTGTCCTGGAGTCACTTGAGAGAGGTGAAGGCCCCAGTGGCAGAGACCCCCAAGCTCTCCATGTGGCATGTCTGGGCCCCTTGTGGATGAAAATGAAAATTTCCTGTTGTCCTGTCCTCAGGGTTATGGAGATCATTCTCTGCATATGATCTAGCAAAAAGAAACACAATTTGATCCACTCACACTCACTTTTCACATTTAAATCTTATGTATTTATTTAAGATAGTACATTGACATTGTTCAAAATTCAAAAGAACCAAGAGAATATACAGAGAAAGTCACACATTCCTGACCTCTGGGGCAACCAGTGATATGGGTTTCTTGGGTATCTTCCCAGAGATAGTTTATAAATGTCTGCAAGTAAAAGGGGGAAGATGGCCTTTCCCCCATTTTATCAAATATACAGCATATTAAACATGCTATATAAGTATATAAGTATGTTTATGTAATATATAAATATATACACAACGTAATGTATTAAACATACGCACAAGGAGCTTTCTAATTATTTTTACAGCTAAATAGTATCATATTTGTTTGACTATGCCTAACCAACTCACTGTTGTTGGACATTTAGGTTGTTTCAACCTTTTGCTAATTTGTGATGCAATAAATATCCGTGTACATATGTCATTCACCATACATATGAGGGGCTGTGGGGTCTAAGGGTATGCTTTATAATTTTGATAGATAATGCCAAATTACGTTCTAGAGAAGTGTCACTCCCACTATCGATGAAACATAATTTAAACCCAGCATCTATAGGTATCAGGACAAGCTTTCAGTGTAAGCCACTCTAGGTAGCTTGTTTAGGAAACTGGTTGGTAAGCCCCAGCACATAGTACACTTAAGAATTTTTTTTTTAACACAATAAAGGCTTCCCTGCCAGAATTCAGAGTTCCAGAGAAAATACCGGTGCCTCGTCTCCAGGTAAATCGGAGTTGCCCCAAACTAGATCTTCATAGCCGTTCCCCATCTACATCAACCATGTTCCAAGAATAAATAAAAGAAGTCCCTGTAAAAACTGCAGCGCAGGTCCTAACTCACTTAAGACGCATGAGTGGTGGTGTTTTATAAATTAAGTTTTTATTTTAAAGCAAATCCCAGACACTGCCATTTCACCCCTACATGTTTCATTACACATCTCTAAAAAATGATGGTCATTTTCTTTCTTTTTTTTAATGTTTATTTTGAGAATACATGCATGCAAGCGGCAGAGAGGGAGGGGGAGAGAGAATCTGAAGCGGGCTCTGCTCTGTCAGCACAGAGCCCGCTGCAGAGCTCAATCCCACAAACTGTGAGATCATGACCTGAGCCAAAATCAAGAGTCCGGCACCGCAATGGCCATTTTCTTAAATAACCATACCCATAATGCTATTATCACAGCAAAAATATCAGTAGTTCTTCAGCGATATCTCATAGGAGCTTATACAATGAAATCTTCCTAAGTGGCTCGAGAGTATCTTTTGAAAATGACTTTTGTTGAG